CAAGGGCAGCTCAAAAAGTAGCCACAGTGACGAACTGATCAATGAGGAGAATTTCTTGGGGATTTGCAGCAGAGAATTGCTCGCCAGAGGGTGTGAACTCCTCAAACGCACCCGCAAAGGTAAAGAACACAACACAAACTACTTAGACATTCTTCTGTTTTTCTTTCCTAAGTTTAAGATTAAGTGAAGTCTGTTTCTTGTCTCTTGGACCTTTCAGGCGATCTCCATTGGAAAATAGTTTCAGTTTACATCAACAGAATGAATCAGGTTGGAACTCTCTACTCGAAGATTTTGGATTACCTTTAGGAATTTGATCATTTGATCTGATGAACTTTGGATGAAAAGATAAAGATTAAAGTCACATGAGATTATTAGTGAATCAATGGAACTTTAGTCTTTTTTTTTTTTACAAGTGTGAAACTGATGAAACGAGGCAGAAAAAGAAGAGAAAGCATAAACGAATCAAAGCCAAAAAAGCATGGCAGTATGTGATGAAGTAATGGCATCTACTTTTCACACTGTTTAAGCATTTTTTTTGTTTTTGGTTTATGGATGATTGAAGGTTACTTTGAAGATGAAGAGCAGACATGTTGCAGGGACCATCACCAAAAAGAAAAAGAGTAAGAAATCATTACACAAACCCTTGTTCCATGTGACATTCTCACGAAATCTAAGAAGAAGCATTTAGAAACCTTGTTCAAGATTCTGATGGGTTCAAAGACAAAAAGAATGCATGTCATATTCTCATGGTATTGATGTAAGAGAACTAAAGTTTAGACTTCACTTTTGTCACCATCTAACATCAATAATATGCGAGAGCCATTGAAAAGAGAATTCAAAACTTTGATGTGGGTCTGCTTCGAATTTGGGGATTTGAGACAGAAAAAAAAAAGCAAAAGCTTTGGATCTAAAGTAACTAAAGGATCTAAAAAGAGGGTCTATTCTTTTACTTTTTGTCTGTCTATCTCTTTACCTATACACTTGTTGAATCGAATCGAATGTGAATGGCAAGGCTCTTGGTTTGAGGCCCCATAACTTTTCTTTTCTCTTTCTCTTTAACCTCATCTTTTAGATTGTTTCATTCGATCGGTTCTCGGATTTCGTTTTCAGACATCGTGCTTGAGGTGATAAAGGACGTACCGGCTTGGCCAGGTCGACATCTGCTCGAGGGCGGAGATGATTTCAAGTACTTTGCGTTGAAGACGGTTTTGCGAGGCGTCGTGGAATTCGAGTGCCGAAGCCGGAGGGAGTACGAGATGTGGACTCAAGGTGTGTCGAGGCTTCTTTCTCTTGCAGCTGAGAGGAACAACAACAGATATAGGACCTGAATTTCTATTTTTTAACTTATGGGGTCAAATTAAAACTTGGAGAAAGTTTAGGGGTTTCTTTTAGAATGGTAAATTTTAGTGGGGGTGTATGGTGGTATAGGATGAAAATGGAATGGGTCCACTAGGGGAGATTTTTAACACTAAAAGGGGATGGGTGAGGGAAATGTGCTTTGCTAAAAATGTTAGTGGGTGTTTGTAATTTTTCATGCTCTTTTTTTTTTTTGTAACCAATGTTGGGACTAAAAACTATTTATAGAAAAGAGAGGGTACTAATAGGGATGGGTCCATATCCATATTTCTTGATACTTGCTTTTTCTATTATTTTTTTTTTAAATGGGAATATCATATTCTTGATGGAATCATACATTCATTACACAAAGCTTTTATAGATTATGAGTGTGATAGTGTAGGGTTTGAGATTAAAAATAGAGATATGGCATAAAGTCTATAGAATATATTCATGAT